GATGATCAATTCCTCTATTACTCTTGTGACCTTAATGTGTGATTCATGGCTGATGTTCTAAGGAGAAATTGTATGCTAGTCCATAGAATTGACAATTAGATCTTGAGTATGGAAGAGTGAAACAAATTGCCCAGGGAGGGAAGCTCACAGTTCGCATCTCACAGTTAGCATCTCGTAACAGATGATGTCCGCTAACAATTATCCGTACCTCTTTTTGCGCTAAAAAGAGGCTATTGTACTTTTTTAACCGTAAGTTGGACGAAAATTTAACCCGTGATCCGTGTGGAGAATCATTTGAATAAGCTTACCCATATATCGTCAATTGTGTTCTTCTTCTCCAAGATCTATCTGGACCTCAAAGAAATTAGCTGAAAAAGAGAATAATAATTTTATTAGCTTTGTTCCGCAGAGATTTGAGACATAACAGTTAAGTTGCAAGATGCATTTTATAGCAATCAGATTCTTCCCAGCGAGCCATTACAGATGAATTAAGTTGGAGGTGTACAATTCGTTTCATGTTATGGCGGCCATTTTGAAAACACTTGAGCAGGAGTGCGGAACGAGTTGCGCAAGGGTCTGCCACGGTTGAAAAAGTATATCTCGGGCATATTCCGAACATATTCCGGGGAGAACAACACCTGGTAATGTTTCCGAAGAATACTCTCTCCCAGAATCTCGTTAAAACCGTTTTGCTTAAGGATATTTTGTTTTCAAAATTGTCGACCCAAACACACAGAACTCGAGTTAAGTTTATTTTTTATCCATACGATGATATAAATCACCGGGAAGGGGGTGTGGATTTTGGAAGGGATCACATGGTTCTGAGGGGGAGCGGAGGGGGAGGGGGAGGGAATCAGTCGTCTCTAGTAGAAAGGGGAAACATTTAAATATCATTAGAAGATACATACATACCTACATACATACATACCAAGGTTAATTATACCACTCCCCATAGGGGCTTTTCAGGGCCAACACCCATCCATCCCACCCAGGGGAGGACATCCACCACACAGTAATCTCGTGCGTGGGAATTTAACGTCTCCTACCCATAACCCTACCAGGAGACGGGGCCTACGGTTTATTGATTCGGTTTATCCCTGAAGACTAGAAAATCTATCCATTTCTTGATTATAGAAAGGTAGCAAACTCTCCTCACTTATTTTGATACCATGAGTATTGGTCCGGCCGGAGCTCGAACCCTCGACCTCCCGCACGACACAATCTGGCGCTTTAACCAATTGACTGTTTCGAGGCGGTTAGAGTAATTCAGAAACTTATGGGGATCAGGTAAATCTTAATGTGTCACACAAAAAAAAAAATCCTGCAGGCCCCCTCCCCCCCCCCGTCCCTTAGATGTAAGAGCTTCATGTATCCCATATGTTTTTCTTTGAATAAAATAAGTGGAAAAAAAAAAGCATGACCAAACTTTTTACCTGATACAAAGCATTCTATGACATACAACGTTAAGAAAGCAAACGGTAAAACTGCAAGATTCTTCATGTTCAGCTTAAAATGAAAGAGAAGAAATCGGTATGACCGGATGGAGGAGACATACATCGATGACACCACTATATCACCAGCTAAAAAGGGCCATATGTAATAAGAACTGACAAATTTATAGATTGGATTCGGCGGAATGACTCGACGTTTTACCTCTGTCACGGAGGGGAGATGGCATCCGCCTGACTCCTGCCCATTCACCGTTTGCTTATCAAAGGGCGGAGAGTGTCTTTATCTCACAAGATCAAAAAACGAAAAAAACTAATCATCCTGACAATCCAAATGAAAGTAGGATCTGTAAAAGCTTTGAAAAAAATTACCATCTCTAAGCTCGAGGCCAGCTTTGAGCGTCAAACATTTCAACAACACCACATTGTGTGAGTAATTATTTTTACTTAAGAAAATGACAATTAAGAAACTTGTCTCCTTTGTAAACTCCGCTTCGACTTTTTATCTCAATCCATACAGATACAAAATAACAATAGAGGACGTAAAACTGAAAAGAAAGGAAGCCACTTACTTTGTACAGCTTGCACAAGATTCTGGAGAACTCTCGAGAATTTTTAAGTGGTGCGGACGAAACCAAACAACTTGCAAGCAATCAGAACTGTATGCAGCTCTTTATATCTAATTGATTGACTGGAATCTGTTTATTTAAATCTATTAATAGATGTTCCAATGTGGGAGAGCGGTCGAGGTAAGGTAGTAAGAAGCGAAATGACTTGTGAAAAACAAGTGGATAATGAAAGACTGGACAAGAAGGACAATGCAAGTTAATTTGCATTTTGACCCATCGGATATCCTTAGCTATTATTCTTTTCCTGCCGTTTCAAAATTAATTTTCAAAGACTTAACCACAAGTGAGAAAGTTTTCGGATTAAAGTACACGCGACAATCCCAAAAGGTAATCTGAATATCCGGTAATCACTGAGTTTCATTAATAAATAAATAGATTCCTCAAACATGTGATGCCTCGTCCTTACAGTGACGTTTCTCAGATTTCCCTGAAATAATGAGGTCAAGGAGCCTTCATTTGAACTCCTACAATACCTCTCGAGATCCTTTCTCAAAAGAGCTGTATATGCGTTGTTGACAAAGCGCGGGGTCGAATTGGCTGGGTTTTGGGCATTTCTTTTTTTGTTTTGCGTTTTTATGGACCGAGACAAAGTCGAGGTCCATACATGGATTGGAAAAAAGAACAAGGCTAAAAAATTTCAGATAATTTGACGAAACAAACTTGGGCCAAAAAGGATTTGCTATTCAGAAAAAAGATTTCGCATTAGTAAGAATTAAAAGATGAATTGTTTATTTTGAGAGCCGGGTAGAACCCAACTGTGTTTGTAGCACTAAAAATCCGGCAGATTCTCTTATGTTTTCTTGTTTTGACTATTTTCTGCGGTTATTTTCTGCGGTTATTTTATCCGTCACTATCGCCGATATTGTCTAAAAATAACGAACTTCAGCAAGTCCACTCCACGCAATGCTTTTCCGGATTAAGCGGCCTGGATCGGGTCGGAAAACAAGATTCGCTATATATTACCCACAGGCCGCTGCCAGTGATATGATAATGCGAGCTACTATGTAAACAAACTGCTCTTCTTGGCGTGGCTTTTGTCGTTTAAAACCCCTCCTTCCCAGAAAAATTGCGCGGTTTTAAGTTTTTCGGAAAGAGGCATTTTCTTTTACCAAGAAACTTTAAGTCATCCACGAATATTGGATATGGTAACACGTGCACTGTTGTATACCTTGATACGACCGTCGCACATCTAACAAAGTACTAGTCATATGATCAACATTACCATTTAATCAAAGTGTGCATTTCTAATAAGCAAATTGTTTATTCAAATTTGTGGTGGTTTAAAACTGGTAAACTTACAGCAATGAATCTGATTTCCATTAGCTTTAAAGCAAAGCTTAATGAATAAAAATTTCAATATATAAACGTGATAAAGAGCTTGAGGTACGAGAAGCTTCTTCAAAGTTTCTTTCATGACTATTGAGTCACTGTTTTACGAGAATGAACTAAAAAGATGTTGCAGTTTCGGAGATTGAATGGGCATCATGGGGTGCTCCAACAAGAACATAAAAGTCTCACACTTCAAGAAAGATGAAACTTATGGGTCTTTTTTAGCAGAAATGAAGAATGCTAATGCACCTGTTCATGAGAAATCGTTCGGCATCACAACAGGAATGAAGGAAATATCAAATATACATTTTAAAAACAGTTTTTCCCATCAACTCCGAGAGGAATATGTGTTAAATGTTCCATATCCAAGCATATGCCTTGTTGAAAATTTTGAGATTGTGATCACATAACCTCCATTTGTTATAACTGAGAAATATGCAAACCTGTGTCTTCATACTTCTCTCCACTTTCCTTTTTT